GATGATGATGATGATGATGATGATGATGATGATGATGATGATGATGATGATGATGATGATGATGATGATGATGATGATGATGATGCGCTCTCAAAGGGTGGTGACAGGCAGCTTGACAACGTGGTTTACTCAACACTGGAAGCTGAAGTAGCACTCGCTGTCGCCCCTAAGGAGCCCAGCATTTGTCCAGAGGAGGCGGAAGAGGAGGACCAGAGTGAACTCAGGGTGCATAAAGGATGCTGCAACCTACCCTTAGGTCGGGCATGTCCTCCTAAAAACTGATTCCGTACGAAAAAACACAAATCTTCAAAACATTCTCTCAAAGTGCCCAAGAATTGCCAGAAAATCGTCCCCCGACTAATTCTGGACTATTTTTGAATTTTCCTCCTGTAGAAAGCGGTACCAGACTTAACGTTGAATCGGGCGGGCCCCCCAGCAGGAAGCTTTTCGGCGAAAAATCAAACGCTGTCCACACATACCCGCAAAATGCCCACAAATTCCCCCCCCTCCCCAAAACACACACACACACACAAAAAAAACAAAAAATCGTCCCCAGATTATTAGCTACTATGTTTGAAGATTCCTCCTGTCGAGGGACGTGCCCGAATTTTGACTCTCCGCCCATGGCAAACGCCCTCGGCGAGGCGCACGCAGCTGGAGAACGCACCCCCGGGGAGGCGCAGGCGCGCGCGCCCGCGGGAAACGACAAAAAACCACTCCGAACGCCCCTCGCGCGCGGCCTCCGCAGGAGGGGGAGAAGGAGGAAGAGGACGAGCAGGAGGAAGAGAAGGACGAGGAGGAGGAGGAGGCGGCGGAGGAAGAGGACGAGGAGGAAGAGGAGGAAGAGGAGGAGGAAGAGGAGGAGGCGGAGGAGGAGTTTTTTTTCCCAGCCCTGCGCCGCCCACAATCAAGCGAGCGAAATTTCAATGGTTCCACCTGTACGCGGGCCAAGTTGGGATGCGTTCCCTTGAGAATGTGATTTCGAACTGCAACGGCAAAATTGGAAATACCGTCCTTACGCCCAGCAACCGTGAGACAATCCTTGGCAAGATTTCGGAATTGGCCTCCAGTTGTATACGCCTTGCTTGTGGAGCAGGCGCATAACCACGTACCGTCGGTGCAAGAGAAAACCTTAAGCGAGTGCTTACGCTGACCAATCGCGAAGGCAACAGCAGGCAGCTCATCCGAACAGTTCACGATCGGAGATCTCTGATCACAACGTCGGCTCTTCAAACAGCGCTGGCATCTCCAGAACGAGCGGCACCACAGCCACTCGTGACAAATACCAATTAAATCCGAAGCCTTGGGACGGGGAGGACGAGGCGTCCGAGGAACAGATCAATTTTCGGCCACAACGGCATCAGACGGGCGACCAAGGCACAAACCTTGCGGCCGACCGCGACTTTATCGTCGACCACCTGCAAATCGTTAGGCGAGGCCCTCGGATGGCTCTGAGCACCTCTCTTGGCCGCCTCGCCCGCCTGATCATTGTCCTGCTTATAGAAAAGCTCGTCCGCAAAAGGCGAGCCATCGTCCAGAAAGCGTGCCTTCACTTTGTGGACGCACGAATACATGCTATTCGACATGTTTGAAAGAGCCCCAGCGTAGAGCTTCTTATAAGGGACCTGCGAAGGCACAATGGAGTGAAACGCGAGGACCACATTGGCACAGTCGGAGTAACTCCTCGAGGGTCCGCAAAGGAAATCGAGCTTTGCCCCTAAACCGCAGAACTCACCAGCCTGTAAGGCTTGCGGGGGGAAACTGGGAACAGGGCCCGAAAGAGTGCACAAAAATTGCCGTTGCTCGTCATATACCGCCGCCCCCTAACCGGCCCTTGGCATCTCCTTGATGGGGCTCTTTTGGCCAGAACCGTCAAATAACACATGTCCTTGGATGTTCACGGAAGCGCTGTCTGGGTCGCGCACCCACGGCACGGACATGCCGCCTTCAGCAACGGGCCCTGGCACAGACTCGCCGGGGTGCTGAAAGATGCCCTTGGTGAACAAATTCCAATCTGGGCTGTCTGGGGCGATGGCGTCGGCAAGGGCGATGACCTCTTCTTCGACTATTTCAAGCCGCTGCTCACGAACGGCCTGGCACTTCCACTAACGGTAGCGCATAGCATCGTCAGCAGCACCGCACAGAGGACCGAGCGCGTCGTCGAGCAAGTAGCCAGCATCCGCGGCCCTAGTCTTCGCGCAAGAAGCTCCACTGACCAGGCTGCGAATACAACCCTCTTCAAAGTGAGACCACTTTTTCTTCCCAAGTTCCTGGAGGACAATGTCGCAACAGGCCCTGTCTGAGCCCATGCCGAGAGCAACTCCCGAAAGCTTATCGAGATGACGAATGGCACCTTCCCTCAAAAACCTTTTGAGCACCCTGGGAGAAGTGTCGGTCAGGCCTAAGGACACCTGCTGGTCAGGGACAATGGTGGCGCAATCGCTCATGCCCCACCCGATCCTTGACAAGGAAGCCCTAGACGTCGAAAAAGGCCCAGACCCTTTCTTCCAGCAGACCGGAGGATCTCCGAAAGCCGAATCCCAGGACGACCTGAGAGCCGAGAAGGGGACCGAAAACTTACACTGTCTGGTTCCGGTGAGCCAGACCTCTTCGGCGTATCTCAAGATCGGCGCCGTCGTCGCGCAGTAGCACGGGTCGTGCTCTAGAATGGCGAGCGACGCGAGGCTGCGCAAGCCCGCGGGGGGCTCGACGCACTTGCCGAAGGAACGGCGCAGCAGCTTGAGCTCGCGGTCGGATGCGCCAAGGACCTCCGCCCCAAAAGCGGTTCCTGCTCAAGGTCCTGCAACGAAGATCTTGCGAGACCTCTTCCCAAGAGCCCTACTGGATTTCCTGAGTTGCTTCGCCCTGGATTTCAACGATCTGACCCTGGATTTCCATTCCTTGCCCTTGTGACCGGAGCGTCTAGCCTTCCCCACAGCGTCGTCGATCCCCAAGTTCACCGCCGACTCCATTGCAGGGCCCCCAGAGAACCGGCCCAAAAACTGAACGGGTTTGCAGCCGAGCATCGGCGTGGAAGCAAAGACCAAAGCTTTGTCGTCAACAACGCTACAATGCATGCCGTTATGGATTGCAGTCGGTCTACGCTTACAGACGACGCCGCCCCGACAGAACTAAAACCATAATCGTCCATGTAGATGTTCAGAAAATCAATCCGACGATCCCGGCAAAGCAACCTATCAGCGATGTGTAGGAGCATATATGGAAGCATTCCCCTTAAAATTCAGTTGTAGAATTCTGTTGTTCTCGCAGCTGTAGTCGCATTCGCAATGACAGTCGCAGCGGCAACGGCAGTCGCAGTCACAGCCTCAGCCTCAGCCTGCCTCAGCCTCAGCCTCAGCCTGCCTCAGCCTCAGCCTGCCTCAGCCTCAGCCTCAGCCTGCTTCAGCCTCAGCCTCAGTCTGCCTTCAGCCTCGGCCTCAGCCTCAGCCTGCCTCAGCCTCAGCCTGCATCAGCCTCAGCCTCAGCCTCAGCCTGCCTCAGCATCAGCCTGCCTCCTCAGCAGCCTCAGCCTCAGCCTGCCTCAGCCTCAGCCTCAGCCTGCTTCAGCCTCAGCCTCAGTCTGCCTTCAGCCTCGGCCTCAGCCTCAGCCTGCCTCAGCCTCAGCCTGCATCAGCCTCAGCCTCAGCCTCAGCCTCAGCCTGCCTCAGCATCAGCCTGCCTCAGCCTCAGCCTCAGCCTGCCTCAGCCTCAGCCTCAGCCAGCTTCAGCCTCAGCCTCAGTCTGCCTTCAGCCTCGGCCTCAGCCTCAGCCTCAGCCTCAGCCTCAGCCTCAGCATCAGCCTCAGCCTCAGCCTCAGCCTGCCTCAGCATCAGCCTGCCTCAGCCTCAGCCTCAGCCTGCCTCAGCCTCAGCCTCAGTCTGCTTCAGCCTCAGCCTCAGTCTGCCTTCAGCCTCGGCCTTAGCATCAGCCTGCCTCAGCCTCAGCCTGCCTCAGCCTCAGCCTCAGTCTGCCTCAGCATTCAAAATGTGGCCCGGGAATGGAGTTCTGGGAACTCGAAGAAAACGAAGTGGCCTACAGTTGGCTCCGGGCATTCAAAATCATGCTCAGGAGTGGAGTTCTGAGAACTCAATGACCACGAAGTGGCCTACAGTTGGCTCCGGGCATTCAAAATGTGGCCCGGGAGTGGGGTTCTGGGAATTCAAAGACCACGAAGTGGCCTAGAGTTGGCTCCGGGCATTCAAAATGTGGCCCGGGAATGGAGTTCTGGGAACACGAAGACCACGAAGTGGCTTACAGTTGGCTCCGGGCATTCAAAATCATGCCCAGGAGCTGAGTTCTGGGACCTCGAAGACCACGAAGTGTGCAACTGTTTGTTTAAATCGACTTCCGCGGCTTCTCCCCGGATCCTGCCCGGACCCCCCTGGGGCGTCGAGTATTCTCTTTTGACCCCACTAGAAACCGATCAGTCTTCGCTGTTAGGTAACAATCCGAGGACTGGGGATCGGGTCGGTAACAAGTATCAAGTAAATGCGCACGAACGTCGCGGCCATCGAGCAAACCGCAACTACTCCATCTATCGCGTAATAGGGCCCCACGGACAAAGTAGAGAGCGTTAAGAGCCTAGCTCCACGATAGGCCGTCATACACACTCTCGCGATCTGCGCTGGAAACCCTAGCTGCTTGGCCCTGGCCTCGACCAGCGGGAAGTGCATGCCTTCGTAGACCTTGCGCGAGTCCCAGAGCACAGTAGCTGCCGCCTTGCCTTCGCGAACGCCCAGCTCGCTGCGAAGCGCCTGCCTCCATGCCACATATCAAGCCCCATTAGAGGCCGCGGCCGCCAGATAATTCCGAGAATTGGACAGCTCCCACGAAGACGCATTTTTTCGACGGACCCTCCCCCACCGGCGGTGCCCAGAACTAAAAAGGCCGATGGGCCTGAAGCCCCCCTGGGGCTTGGCCAAAAGGGCCATCTACAACGCCTGCATGCGATATGGAAGAAGGCCCGTGGCTTCAATCAGCTAGAGCAGAATACTGAAAACCTCTAGGCAGCCGTCGGACATGCCGGCGCAATGGCGCATGTGGAACCAATCCACCGAGAAGGCCGCGGAGGTAGAATAAGAGCGACTAACCTTACGAATATCATCGGGCGTGAGGATATCGAGAGGCTCAAGGATCTCCAGCGGCTTGTCGATGGCGTCTGGCTCCTTGTCCGCCTGCCAGAGACCTGCAAACCGGGCCGCCTCTGTCTCCAACGGGGCGAGAGGGTCGGACACGATGTGGCCGTGCTTCGACAGCGTCGTGGTCGGAGTCCACGACTTGCACTCCTTGGCCCACCTATGGGCCATCCTTCCCCCCCGAGTTACGCCGTCCAAGAGCCACGCCTGCCAACATCTAAAACTGCGGTCTCGGGCGGCGGCCGAAAACTTACCGAGGGAAATTTCGAGCTCCAAAAGCATTTCCAAACCAGCGTCAACGCCCCAAGAAACATCAGCCTCGCCTTCGGTGAGAAAGGTGCCCACCCGGACGAAATCGCCCTGACAAATGCTGAGATGATCGGCAACCGTGGCCGGAAGAGCCAGAAGGGCTTTCCCATGAATCCCAAAAGCCTTTGAATGTTAGAGGCCCCCCAAGAACGCTCGGGATTCCCTAACAAGCCAGCGGAAAGCGAAGAGGCCAGGATCCATGACGTTGCCACGCACGGAGTCCAAGTCCGCCCCGGAGACCCAGATCAGCTTCGGAACCTTACCCCGAGCACCGAACCTGGGGAGGGTCACGAACCTAGATTCTGCCACCTCGCGCTCGGCAAGGTCCGCCCACTCCTGATATAGCTTATGCAGGTGCTTCTGGACCAGCCTGCGCTTCGGGGTGCCCCTGAGCGCTGCCGAACCTGCCTGAGCGAACTCCAACACCTGATCTGCCAGCCTGGTTTCGGCAGGTGGTCCGATGGGCTGCTCAATGGGGGTATCGGAGGGCTTCATGAAGCTAAGAGCCTGGAGCTCCGCGGGGCTCTCGTGAAAGGTGAGCCTGACAGGGGAGTGAGACTTCACGTCCGAGTCAGTACACACCTCTATACTTTGGACACACTTGCTAAGACCAGGTGACAGGATAAAACAGTCGATGATGCTATTGGCCCCTCTGCTTCCATGAAACGTGCACGAAGAAGGAGAGAGTATATTGACAGCCGTCCGTGCGAAGAAATTGCTGGACTACAGGGTGGAGGGCGACACGTTGAAGTCAGCACCCACAAGCCAAGAATCCCCGAGTCCGCGCACACAGCTTCCGATATATGCCAAGAAAGTTCGGTTCCTCTGAGACAAACCTTCGCTATCCCCGAAGCACGCGCTAACCATCAACGTGGGCGAACCCCCAGGAACCTCCACAACACCAGCAACAGCACGTCCAGGAAAAAGCTCAGCTCCAAACTCTGGGAGACGAAATCCGAGATAGTTTCGAACCAAAATGGCGACCCCTGCACTAGCTCCACCCCCAGAAGCGGTCTGCGCCCTCAAAAACTTGCTCTTCCAGCCCCGATTGTAGCACCACTGTAATGCCTCGTCACAGTCGGTACCTGAAAGAAGCCGATGTTTCTGAACGAGAATTACCTGCGCCGATGGTTTCTGAATCCAGGACCTTATCGAGGACCAAGCCGTGCAATTGACAGTCTCGACCATCCGCTGGTAATGCGATGCGGGGCCGGCTGGGGGGCCTGCATAGTTGGCGGGATCTGCACCTTCTGGAAACTTACATGGGTGCCACCCAGCCCCTCGAAGCACATGCTTGGGGGCCTGGGACACTGGGCGCGAGGCAGAATGCACGCCATGGAAAGCAGACTCTGGCGAAACAGAATCAGCGACAGATCCGTGGGAAACAAAATCCGGCGGGGCAAGAAGCGAGGAGGAGGAGGAAGAGAGAAGCCAAGCATGAAGTAAAGAATCTGAACCCCCCTCCTGGAGAACACAAAAATGCACGTCAATGGTAGGTCCCTGCTGCCAGCCCGTTAAGAACCCGAGGGAAGAGCCTCCCTGGGAAGGTACTCGCACGGGCGGGGCGGGGCTCCACCCACCTAAGCAGGAACTTTGCCTCCAGTGGGGGAGGGCTCAGCGTCAGCGCGTGCGCGAAGCGATGCCGACGAGGCCGCTGGAGCGCCAGAGGCTGTTGCCGAAGTTGCTGGTGCCCCACCAGCGCCTTCCACAGCCGCCGAAGCTGCAGCCTTAGCGCCGGCCGCGGCGACAGGGGCTGCCACTGGTTCTCCTGCACCTGCGGCGGCAGCGCCGTCGGAGTCGACGCGGCGCTTTTTGGCAGCCATCCTTGTGGCATGAGTCGCGTGCTCTTCCTTGGGATGTTCGATGCTTGCAGAAGTAATACCTGGACTCGTTGCGCCTGCACCCGCACCAACCGCACGCCCACTTTGCACCCGCTGGGGGGCGTCCGTGAGGTGCACTACGGCCACGAGGAGGCTGAAGACCAGGTACAAGAGGAAGCCACGTCTGGGCATCGGGACGTCCTTCCTGGCGCTTGGCATGGACGCCTGGGACTCCACCTGCCCAGCTCTTGTGCCAAGGTGCCCAGGAGACACGTCCTTTTCCGACGCCGCCGCCGCCGACGCTGCCCTCCGCCATGACTCCGATGGGGACGTGCTGGAGGGGTGCTCCAGCAGGAGCTCACAAATGGAAAGCGTGAGGGTTGAGATCCCTCGAACTGAGTGAAGACGGGCCAATTCAGCCCGCAATAGCAAGGTGCCGTTCTGAGGCATGCTGTTGCAAGCCCAAAAGAACTTGGACCGTAACGGCCGAGGCGGAGGAGGAGGAGGAGGAGGAGGAGGAGGACGACGACGACTAGGCGGAGGAGGAGGACAAGGAGGAGGAGGAGGAGGACAAGGAGGAGGAGGCGGAGGAGGAGGAGGAGGAGGAGGAGAAGGAGGAGGACGAGGAGGGGGAGGAGAAGGAGGAGGAGGAGGAGGAGGGGGAGGAGAAGGAGGAGGACGAGGAGGAGGAGGACGACGAGGAGGAGGGGGCCGACCAGAGCCCTCCCCGCCCCGGTGCGCCCCGCCCGCCCAGGGGCCCGCGCGCGCGGCGCCCGCGCGCGCGCGTCCCGACGTCGAAGGCGGGCAGCGCCCGAGGGACGCCGCAGACGGCGGCCATCACCTGGTGGTCGGGCAGCTGGTCGAAGGCTGGTCGCCGGGCGCTCACCTCGACGACGACGACGACGACGACGACGACGACGACGACGACGACGACGACGACCACCAACACGACGACGACGACGACGACGACGACGACGACGATGACCACGACCACCACCACTACGACGACCACCACCACCACGACGATCACTACGACAATGACGACAACGGCGACCACTATGACAAGGACCACGACGACGATGACGACGACGACGACGACGACGACGACGATGATGGCGACCACGACGAAGACGTTGACAACGACCACCACCACCACGACCACGAGGACGAAGAGGGGGAGGAGAGGGAAGATTGGGAGGAGGGCAAGCTAGGCGCGCTCTCGCCATACCTGACATCCGACCCATTCTGCCAATATCTTCCCATTGAGTTGTTTCTCCATATATTTGCGGACGCGCGTCATAGCGGACCTGGGTGTCCAAAAAAAACAATCGTGTTATTCGCAATCGGAGAAAGGAGGAGCTGCACACCTACGAGGGGGAGGAGATGGCAGATGAGCAGTGGGCGGAGCAGGAGAAAAAGGGGAGGATGAGGAAGGTGGAGAACGACGAGGACGAACAGCAGCAGCGGGAACTGGAGTGGAAGGAGCGGGAGCAGGAGGACCAGGGGAAGGCGGAGGAGGGGAAAGGAGAGGGCGACCACGATGAAGAAGGACTCGGGTCCAGAAAAGTGGCCCGCGCTGGGGCGAGAGCGGCGATCTGAATGACGGTAGCAGCGCGCCGATCCTAAAATGAGGCCGACGCTGTAGCGGAAGTACAGCTTTGAAGCACCGGAAACAATCGGAGAATCGAATCATCCCGGAGAAGGACCCCAAGAATATGCAGTTGCGAGTGATGTCGTTGCGAGTCTCGCCTTCGGTGGAGCCCCCCATGGGGCCACAGAGCGTGTGAGGGATGTGCCGAAACGGGTGGGGCGGCCGCGTGTGGACACCGCCACTGGAGCCTTCGGCGGAGTTCCTTATGGGCGGGGCGCCCGAAATGGGTGTGCCGAAATGGGTGGGGCGCCCGCATTTGGAAATGACTAACTGGGGCCTTCGGTGGAGATCCCCATAGGGCTACGAAGCGTGTGAAGGGTATGCCGAAATGGGCCGGGCGGCCGCATGTGGGCATGGCCACTGGGGCCTTCATAGGAGCTCCCTATGGGGCCACAAAGCGTGTGATGGGTGTGCCGACAAAAAAGTGGGGTGGCGGCACGTGGACATGGCCACGGGGGCCTTCGGTTGAGCTCCCGATGGACTCACGAAACGTGTTAGGGGTGTGCCGAAGTGCTTGACATGCGGAGGGCAGGGGCTGGGATGGGAGGAGGGAGGAGGGAGAGGTGGAGGAAGGAGTGACGCAGGGCGCTTTCTCTTCAAAACGAGGACCCAACACCACAGGATGTTTGGGAAAGCATTGGGGACAAAACAATGTTTGACATCCTGCACATAACAAACAATACGTGGAGAGAGCCAACGATCTTCCGGACATAATCAGGTGAGAGAGGAGAACAGTACTCAGAATGTGTAACTGTGGAAGAGGTAGGAGGAGGAGGAGGAGGAGGAGGAGGAGGAGGAGGAGGAGGGCCTCTGGGGGGCTTCGTGATAGCCTCTCGGAAGCCTCCCTGGACGTTTCGAATACGTCCGGAGCCTTCTTGAAAGGTCTTGAAGCTACAAAGGGATGTCGTGGGGCCGTATGCGGGAATCTTGGCCTCCCCCAAATGCTGTGTTGGGTTGCCTTGGACATTGTCGTGGGGACTTCTGCGAAACTTGCCTGCCCGCTCGGTGCATGTTTCGGAAAATTGTGAATGTTAGCCAGCGCGGACCTATGCAGTGCAAACAACGGTGTGCAATCTATGCTATGGTGTGACCTACGTGGTGCAATGTACGCGGTGCAATCCCACCAGCCCTCTGGGCGCAGGTGGTCTAACGGTGACGTTCTTTCCTCTTCCAAAAACCCTCCTCCTCTTCGGGGAGGGGTGTACCCCTCCCCCTACCCCCTACCCTGGACCTGGACGGGAGGGGCCGCGATCGGTTGGAGCGTCCAAGATCGGCCCCTGGGAGGGCCAATTTTTGAAACCTCTCACGAGGATCGTGGCCCCCGAGGGGGGACCTCGATCGGGTGCCTCCCTCCTTTGATCGATAGCCTC